TTATTTTATTTATTTATTTTTTTTTGAGACGGAGTTTTGCTCTTGTTGCCCAGGCTGGAGTGCAATGGCGCGATCTCGGCTCACCGCAATCTCCGCCTCCTGGGTTCAGGCAATTCTCCTGCCTTAGCCTCCTGAGTAGCTGGGATTACAGGCATGCGCCACCATGCCCAGCTGATTTTTTGTATTTTTAGTAGAGACGGGGTTTCACCATGTTGACCAGGATGGTCTCGATCTCTTGACCTCGTGATCCACCCGCCTCGGCCTCCCAAAGTGCTGGGATTACAGGCTTGAGCCACCGCGCCCGGCCAGGAACTTTATAAGGAAAAAATTTACACTGCTGACTAAAACAGCTAACTTTTAAAATCCAGGTTAAACTGATAAGACACAGATACATCTACAAAATTCCACTAAAATTTGAGAAGTAATAAAAAATTTACAAAGAATAAATTACCTACAAATGAAGAAAATGAGATTAGATTTGGACATTAAACTGCAACAATAAAATCTTCAAGGTGGCAGAACTGAAGCTAAACTCTTAGAAAATAAGAATTATATCTCAGCCCAAATACTATTCTTCTTTCAGGAAGAAGACGTGTGATATTCTGATCTTCATTATATTTTGGTTTTTGTAGACGGTTCCTGGCATGTAACTCCCACAGCCCTTGTTACAGTCTTTTGTTTAATGTTGGGGCACTTCAGGCCTTAGAAAATAGAATCTCTCTAACCTTCCCCTGTCCTCCTTTCACCTACCCTACAGCAGTACTCTAATCTTTCCTGGCCTTTCTGACGGTGGGTCCTAAGACTTCATTCCATATGAGGACCTGCCTACACCCTGGAGGAAGGAATGTGGCACAGAGAGGCTAAGAAGAATCTGAACAGACAGGCCTGCTGGGTCTTTCTACTCAGTCTATTAATGTTCGATCATATCCTTCTGGTCGAATTACATTTTTACATGGTTATCAATTATGTCTATCCAGTAGGATATCTAAAAAGACAAGGTTCAGAAAGCTTCTGGATAGCTGGAACACACAGCATGCCTCCGTGTCCTTTCTCCCGTGCCTCGCCCTATGTATCTCTTCATCTGTATATTCCGTAATATAATTTATAACATACAGAGAAACACAAGGTAAGTGTTCCCTGAGTTCTGTGAGCTACTGTAGCAAATTAATCGAACCTAAGCAGAGGGTCACAGGAACCCTAACTTGAAGCCAGTTGGTTAGAAGTTCTATAGGCCTGGACTTGCAACTATTATCTGAAGGGGGTGAGGTGGGGAGTTAGGGATAGTCTTGGAGACTGAGCCCTCAACCTGTGGGATCTGACGGTAACTCCAAACAGAGAAATCCCCTACACGTGGTGAAGTTAAGTCTTCTGTGTGAACTGTTGTTGAATGAGAGAATAGAAAAAGCACTTTGAGTGAGTTACCGTCAGTTTCCACAGGTTTTTGAGACGGAGTTTCACTCTTGTTACCCAGGCTGGAGTGCAATGGCGCGATCTCGGCTCACCCCAACCTCCGCGTCCTGGGTTCAGGCAATTCTCCTGCCTCAGCCTCCTGAGTAGCTGGGATTACAGGCACGCGCCACCATGCCCAGCTGATTTTTGTATTTTTAGTAGAGACGGGGTTTCACCATGTTGACCAGGATGGTCTCGATCTCTTGACCTCGTGATCCACCCGCCTCGGCCTCCCAAAGTGCTGGGATTACAGGCGTGAGCCACCGCGCCCGGCCTTGAGTGTATTTTTTATATTAATAGAATATGTGAGAGTATCTGTGACTCTGATAGCCCACCAGGGAAAATAATCAAGAAATGATACTAACATACTAGTAAATGGCTAAGAACAGAGATCTCAAGATATGGGAAAATGAATATGAGGAGTAAACCATGGTGAGTACTTTGCCATATGGGCATAATTAATTTTAAGTAGATAAAGGAAGACTGACTGGGAATGGATAAAGGGGTATATAAGGGTTCATGAGACAGAAGAGACATATAGTAAAACAAATTCCAATATAGACTTGAACTAAAACTATTAGACGATTTCAGCAAAACTGGAACATAAGGCCAGTGAGATTAGGGATATTTGCCTGTTTTGTTCACTGCTGTGTATAAAATACTGCTGCAACAGGACAGGCACAGTGGCTCATGCCTGTAATCCCAGCACTTTGGGAGGCCGAGGCGAGCGTATCACCTGAGGTCAAGAGTTTGAGACCAGCCTGGCCAACAAGGTGAAACCCCATGTCTACTAAAAATACAAAAATTAGTTGGGTGTGGTGACGGGTGCCTGCAATCCCAGCTATATGGGAGGCTGAGGCAGGGGAATCACTTGAACCCGGGAGGTGGAGGCTGCAGTGAGCTGAGATCGTGCCATTGCGACAAAAAAACTCCATCTCAGAAAACAAAAAAAAAATTACTCTTACAACAGTATTTGCCACTTAGGAGGTACTCACAGCTATTTATTCAATAATGAATGAATCAAGAAGGAAGAGTAAGAAGGAAATGAAATTGTTCTAATATTCCCATTGGCGGGGAGAGGGAACAAGTAACACCAGGGGAAAGTGAAGGTATTTTAAAAACTTCATTATCATTATGACGACACAGTGAAGTAGTAAAGAAAATATCAAGGAAAATTATATTCTCAAATAACTGTAGAGAATGTGTCTGATTATGAGCATAAGAAAATAGAAGGTAACCATTAATGGAATGCAAAACCCTGGCTGATCTTCCAAATTAACTGGGTTTGGTGGCAGGAGTGAAAATAGAATGACACCTTACAAACCAGCAAAAATTAGAAGAAAAAAAAGGAACAATTTGATTAAATAATAAACACAAAATAAGATGGAAGAAATAAAATGAAGTATATTAGTAATTATACAAAAAATGAACAAATCTTCCATTAAAAGATGGAAACTAGTCCAATTTGAATAAAAAACAAAACTTAGCTATACACTATTTGTAGCAAACATCAGCAAAATACACTTTACTTCACAGCCTTATTTCTCTTGACTAGAGTATACATCCATCTATATGCATTTTTCCTTTGTTAAATATTAATATCAAACAATCATGCTGGCCACACACCAAAAAAAACCTTAATGAAATTTAAAAAAATGTTATAGTCCACATTCTCAGACAATACTAATAATAATACAAGAAAATCAGAAGGTAATGGTAAAGGTAGCCAAAAGAATTAATTACTTTGAGGTTGCAAAATTGATCCTTTGAGTTAAAGAAATCACAAAGAAAAATGAGAACCATCTGTAAATACAAAGGAAAAATGCTTTGTATCAATATCTTCCAACACTGGGAAAGTTCTCCAGAGGAAAATGTTTAACATGAAATGCCTTTATTTTGAAACAAGAAACTAAATGTTCTAGCCAACGAAACTAGGAAGAGAGATATAATGAAAATAAAAAGTAAAATGAATACTACAGAAAAAGATTTTTTTTTTTTAATACAAAAGCTATTTTGATAACACAAGGCAGAGATTAAAAGCAGCATATGCAAATATCTCATGAAACTCTTTGGCAAAAAATTGGAAACGTAAAAGAAATGGATGATTTCCTAAGCAAACGATAAATTTCCAAAACCCACCCAAGAAGTGGCAAACTTTAACAGGGAAATTACTACAGAAGGGTTTCAGAAGGTGATAAAAGCTATTACTGCACAAGGAACTAGGATAAGAAAGGTTCACAGCTCAGTTTTATTTAGCTATCCTTTATTCCAATGTTAC